ACCGCCTTGCCACACACAGGTGCTGCCAGCTACCTGCAAAGCAAGCCTTTCAAAGTGAGAGTTCTGGATACTGAAGGATGGACCTGTTGGGTCAAAGAAGTAAAGGGAAAGGGGGCGCCGCCAGGGGACTCAGAAGAGGCAGGCAAGGAAGCAGAGCAGAGGCTAGAGGGTGCTCTGGGCAGCTCCTCATGGACAGAAAACCAGGAGGCTCCAGGAAGGGTCATGCCTACTGGAGCTGCCAAATCCTGCATCCCAGGAGGAGGAGTTCCAGGGGGTTTTCTGGACAGTCCTCCTGAAGCCCATGTGCACAGTGGAGATGGCAACGAGATGAGAGATGGCCAGACAACTCCTTGCAGAGGGTCAGCTCTCCACTGTGGGGAGTCCAGAACACAGAAGAACCTCTGATCTACGTGTGTTCCTGCCCCAGCCGATGGACTTGGAGACCGAGGTCACTCCAGGTCGGGTCTGACAACAGTGGTCAGTGCAGAGGCAGGTACTCCAGATCTGAGCTCCCAGTCTAATTCTTCCTCAGTTTCCCCAGCTGTAAGACGAGGATGGTAACACCAACGTTAGTCCTAGGGCAGAGTGCATGTGAGAAGAAGCCAAATGTGTGCTGGGCTGAGGGCAGTGTGCTCAGAACGCTTGCCTAGGGCTGGGCCTCAGGTCTGGGAAGTCACCCGCTCCTGGCACGCATTTCTGGGCAGAGATCCTGCACGTGCTATGGATTACCCAAGGGGCCTGTGACCCAGAAAGAAAGGGTGAGAAGTGCCCGCCTCATCCCCAGCTGTCGTGGGGTCACACGCTGTGAGCCACTGTGCCTTAGCCCCAGATCCCGTGACTGGTGAGACCTTCTCAGGAGGGCTGCACTTTCATGTCTGCTGGAAAGCAGACTTCAGGGCCAACTGCCAGGCTGTCGGCTGCACTGACTCACAGCTCAAGATGCTGGGCCTTGGAAACACTGGAGCCTCTGCCTCACTCAGCCAGGATCCCAGCTATGATAGAGAGCAGGGCCCAGAAACCTCCAACCTGACTTGGGTTTCACCTAGGCCTTGCTAGACGTGTCCAGATTGAGGAGTGAGGCCTGTAGTGGTCTTTCTAGGTGGAAGAACACCAGCAGGCAGCTTGGAAATGGGGCGGGAGCACATTTCCCGACTCCCTGGTCACTGTCAGCTGCCGGCAGCCATCAAGACCCATCTTGTGCCCCAGCCTTCTGAGAAAGGGCTGGGCAAGCAGATTTCCCCATCCAGATCATTCATTCCCTCCCCCCACCCCACCCCAATTCGGGCTAACACTAGCTTCATGGGTGGGTCACACCCTGTAGCCCAGAGCTGCAGAGGAAGGGAGGCGCCTGGCAGTCTCCTCTGGCTTCTCTCCTCTCTTTCCTTCTTTTTGCTCAACAAGCAGGTCCTGGGGCTGCTCCAGGTTAGAAGGGAACAGAATGTGTTGCAAATCAAATAAATCCTCACCAACACCCAGGCTGGGCTGCCGCAACTTAACGGAGGCCCACACGGTCCCCCACGATTTCCTGAAACAGAGCTGCACTGCTCCTGATCTGACATCAGGTGGAAGATAGCTCAGTTTACAAGTCCCCAGATGCACACTAGGTGAGGGACAGGAGGGTAAGCTACCTGGCCTTAGGGAACCCCAGCAAGCCAGCACCACCTCTCTTGAGAAGGCCCCCGTAAGTGCCTCAGTTGCCAGACCAGAGTTCTTCAAGGATGTAGGATGGCCTGGTCTGTGACAGTGAGCAAGTCCTGGTGGCTACCACAATGGGCAGGGTCCCATCCTCCACCCATCAGGAAAAGGGTGGGAGACTCCTGCCTTTGATGTTACAGAACAATCAGGCCATCTCCCTGACACCCACAGGTTTGGGTAAGTGACACATGGCAGAGGGAGCAGTGAGGCGGCTCAGACCCCTCTTCCTAAAGGCTTCCCCTGGAGGGAAAGCAGATGGTGGCCACTCACAGTGCACTTGCCCTGGGCAGGCTGCTGTGCATGCACTCAGCAATACTCCGAGGTACCCACCTCACAGAGAGCGAGGTACCCACCTCACAGAGAGCCGTGGCCCAGTAAGATTAGATAAGTGCCTGGTCAAATCCGGGCCAAGCCAGAATCTCAGCTTGGTCTGTGTGACTTCTGCTGATAAAATCCAGCACCACTTGAACTCCAAGTAAACACTATCAAGGTTTCATTAAGCAATAAACAAGCAGCCCAAACCAATTCCCACTCACTTTCTACATGGTGTAGGAAGCTAGACCCCTCACCTCCACAGATGGACCAACAAACACACCCAAGACCCCTGTGTGACGGCCTCATCTCTAGATTTCCTACAGGAGACCCATGGGAAGGGGGTTTCTTTTACTAGGACAACTCCACACCCTGAGGCCAAGCCATTTCACACCAAAAGAAACGAGAGGGACAGGCCTAGAGGGCTGAAAACACCAGCTAGCAGAATGAGAACTGTGCTATGGAAGCTGAGCCTTCTGTGGGCCTTTCCTGAGGTGCCAGAGTCACACCACCAGAGAGGCAGACCTGGAAGCTGGCTGTGCCAGGAGTAGCACCTCTTTCCTGAGAAAGCTCACTTTACAGGCCATCACTGACATGCATTAAAACTCTCCTGGGGAGCAGTGTCCACCTGCCTGGGATGGTATTCATGGCCCCATGCAAGGGGCTTTTCCCACACCCTGCAGGGGTCATCCTGTCCAGCAGAGACACTGCAGCCCTTCTCTGAGCCTGTGCCTCCAGCAGCCTGAGGGCCAGTCAGGGTCCTCCTGACTCCCCAGACTGGCCCCCTCTCCAAGCAGTTCATCATGGCTCCTTCCGCTTAGCAGGTGCTAGATAGGCTCTCCTGCACAGTCCAACCCTTTCTGTTACTGAAAATCCTTGTTCCAACACCAAAGGCGGTATGGTGCACGTGAGTGGTTCAGAGAAACAGCTGTGGGACTGATGCACAGCGTGGCCCCAAGGCAGAAAGGGATGTGGGGGAGTCCTCCTCTGCAGCCCCTGAGGGTGGACCAAGGTCTTCCCATCCCATAACGCACCCACAGGCTTTCCCTATAGGGGCCATAAAGGATGTATCACAAAAGAAATCCATGGATAGGAGTCAGGTATGGTGGCTATGCCTGTAAATCCGGCACTTGGGAGGCTGCGACAGGAAGAGCCTGTCTCAAGGGAAAAAAAAAAATCAGGAAAGAAAACAAATCTATGAGTAAAAGCTTGGCACAGCCTCTGAAAGGCCCTGTGGCTATCAACTTCGAATCCACAAATCCTTGAGCCAGACACTCAAAGCGGGATTCCCAATGCTCAGCCCGCTTGCTGGGGACCAAAGTGAAGTGGTGCTGAGCAGCTGAAAAGCAGGAGCCACCTGTGTGCTGATGTGGAAAGACTTAAAAGGTGAAGAACATGTGGTACACTGTGATAATGTTGAGATTTTAAGAGAATAAGCACCACACATCAACAGCATAAAACGCTCCAGAAGCACAAACTGTTAGCCACCGTGCAGGGGAGGAGGACGAATGTGGCCCTCATGCTTGCTTTGTGTACATCTGTAAGATCCTGTATTTGCTTATTAGTCAGAAGACACTAGAAAACCCTCCATCCTAACTTCTGCTATAGCTCTCTGCACCTTCCGAAGTCTACAGGCAAGCCCTTTAAAGATACTACCCATTGTGCTCCCTACTGGGCCTCAACATTTAGTACTTAGAAATGATGAAAACTGGACAATTACAATTCTCCCAGACAAGAGTTCCTTTCTTCAAAGTCCAGTGGTCATTCCAAGAAAACCTCATCTCCACAGGCCGATCAGAGGCCACAGGCTTTTGCCCTCCCACAGACCACCCACTGCTGTGAGCATTCCTAGATAGATAGGAACCCAACAGTTTCTGGATGTCAAGTCCCACAGCATGAAGACCCCCTCATCTTGTGTGGATCGTAAGCCAGCCTCAGAAGGCTTTGGATCTCAGGCAGCCAAACCACTGGTACTTCTTAAGTAGTACACAGTGTACTTGACGGGATACAAGACCAAAAGTCGCAACAGCACCAACGTGTACTGCCAGTCAGAATCCACTCCGGGTAACCAATTACACAGACCCCTAATTTCACAGTTCATGACCCAAAACTCTAAGCGTAGCCCTATTAGCCTGTACCTGTATGCACTATTGAGATTCAGGCAACCCTTAACCAAGTGGTAGCTCTTAATGTCTTGGATGCCCAGAGCTCCAGGGTAAACTTTGGAAGCAAGACAAGTTCAAGGGTAGCCACAGGACAATCTGGGAAATTGCGAAGAGCCTCAAAAAAAAAAATGATCATGTGGGAATTGCTTCAAGTTTTGTTTTTTTTTTTTTTAAAGTCCTGAAATCCCACAAGAAAACTGTCTTACAAAGCAACCCTCCTTCCTGGCCTGCTAGCACTGTGCCCACTTACAGAAGGGCTGTGCCCCACAGTTGATTCTTGGCACCACTTGGGATTCCCCAAGCCCACCCACCCCCAATACACACAGATTTGGTCTGCAAGCAATCTCTGGTCTCTTTCTGTTGGGCAGCCTTTAGGGTATCCCAAACTGCTATTCAGCCTCAATCCCTCACCTACCAGTACAACTTTAATACTATTTTCTTAGGAGTCAGCCTCATTCCTGGCAGGCCGTTTTGGGGAACAGAAATGGTGGTTTTGGCTTTAAAAAATTTTTTTTTCCCCTTAACTGCAACTGCCTTCTTAGCAAGCTGTCGGCAACTGAAGCTGAAACAGGAAACTGACTGTTCAGTCACTCCACGTGGTGCCTTCCTTGCAAGAGGCAGGGAGTATTGCTCAGCCTGCCCAGAAGACTGGCGCGGGCTAGAACAGCTTAAGCATTAATGGATTAGGTGGGAAAACGAAATGCCCGCTGGGGGTCAGAGTCCCTAGGTCTTTCTTTCCGGGACTGCGGGGACGGAGGGGGGGTCCGGGGGGGGGAGTGTACACGAATGAATGGAACGCACGTGGGTTCTGGAGCCAGAGATCTTAGCCTAGAACTTCGGGGATGGTCCAGGCGCTGGTGGGGATGCCGGGAGGCGGGATCCGGGATGTAGAGAATGCGCGCTCCAGGATGCAGGGGTCCCGGGATGCAGGGACAGGGGACCGCCCCCTGCTCGCCCCCCGCCCCGGCCGGTCCAGTACTCACGCACGCAGAGGCAGGCCACGAGCTTGGCGGCGTCCTCGGGCACGGGGCAGCTGGGAAAGAGCGGCTTGAGCAGGTAGGTGGCGAAGACGAGCGCCACGATGTACTGCGAGGAGGGTCGGATGATAAGCAGCTCGATCCAGAGCTTGAGGAAGGCGGGCAGCGAGCCGTACACCTCCAGCATGTAGGCGTAGTCGCCGCCGGACTTGGAGATGGTGGTGCCCAGCTCGGCGTAGCAGAGCGCGCCCACGATGGAGAAGACGCCGCACACGGCCCACACCACCAGCGCCAGCCCCGGCGAGCCGGCCTCCTTGAGCACGCCGGTGGGCGTCACGAAGATGCCCGAGCCGATGATGGTGCCCACGATGATGGCCACGCCGTTGAGCAGCGTGATGCTGCGCTGCAGGGTCACGCCCTCGCCCCCGCCCGCGCCCGCGCCCGCGGGGTCCGCGCCCTCCGCGCGCTGCGCCGCCAGCATCTTCTCCCGCGCCTGCCGCTCCTCCTCCGTGGCCGCCGGGGCTGCTGCCGCGCGCCGCTTCACGCCCGCGCCCGCCATGCTCGCCGTGCCGGTTCGCCGGGCCTGAACACGAGGCACGCGCGCGGCCGAGGAGGGCACTGCGCGCCCCCAAGCTGCTGCGTCTGGGTCCGCGCGGCCCGGCGCTGCCTTTATCCCGGTGCTCGCCGGCCCCGCCCACAGTGGCAGTTACCCGCCACCAGGCCCCGCCCGCTACCGCCGCCATTGGTCAGTCCTGACAGGCTCCGCCCCCCAGACAGGTCCCGCCCATACCGCAAAGGCTCTGCCGGTCACCGCCCTGCACCCGCTACGCAAGGCCCCGTCCGACGCTGCAGTTGGTCCGCGCCGACAGGCCCCGCCCCATTTAGGCTCGGCCCCTCACAGGGCTCCGCCCCCTAAGAGCACGTGGAGCGTCAGGCTGAAGCTAACCGGGATCAGCATCTTGCTGAGCTGTGGAAGCCCAGGCCCCACTGCGCTGGTAGACACCGTGACCTCCTCACCAGCTTCCGTGTCGCCGTAGCCCATCCTACGTGCGGGGCCCGCTGCGTGGCCCAATGGACAGGACACGCTCCTCTTCCTTGCACTCTGCCTTCCCCAGCTCAGCTGTTTGCTAGCGGTGCACAGGACCTGCCTGGGGCCAAGCACGGGAAGGGTGGAGCGTGGGGTGTGGGACGCCTGCCCAACCCCTGATGAGAAACCAGTCCACATCCCAGATGGGCTGATATGATAGGACACACCCCAGTCCCTACCATTCTCTCAACCCTGGTACTTGGGAAGTATGGGAAGAGGAGTGGGGAGCTCATTGTGCAGCTTTGGCCTGCAGAACCACAACAGCGGGTGATCCACCAGCTCAGAGAGCTTGGGAAGATCAGGCCACCTTCGGCGCCTGTTCCTGGACTCAGAAATCCCACTTTATCCCAAGGGGACTCTTGCCAAAGGCTCCCAGTTTGGGGCACCAGGTTTTGAGAAGTAGGAACAGAGGCTGTGGAGAACCCAGAATCTATCTGCCTAAGCTCCATTACGCCAACAAGATGGGGATTTCCCCTCAAGCACCCTACCCCAAATCTATCTGGGGGCTTCCAAAGCAAGCCGCGGGGTAAAGGGGCTAGCCTGTCATCCTTAGGAAATGCCAGGGGGCATCTTAGGTACAGAAGCCCCAGTCATCTCCATCCCCTCTGCTGGTCTGCCCTAATGGCTTCTTAGGAAAGCTCACTAAACAGAAGGATGGGGGAGTATTTTTGGGGGGTGGGCTTAGTTCCCGGACACCACTCTGTCATCTGTCGGAATGCAGAGTCTACAGCAACACAGTGCACCAAGCAGATGCTTCTGTGGACTCCAGATTCTTGATGCACAAATAACTCCATCCTTGGAGCTCTAGCTGCAGCCAAGGATGCCCAGGATGGTCTTGGAACCCCATCACGGGGTTGTTCAGTCAAGGACTGCCAAAGCATGTCATTCTGGACCCCCTACCCAGTATGCAGGTCACTCACCTGCAACGGAAAGCCCCTGAAATGTCTGAAATGCAGCCCAAGCAGCCAGAAGCAGAGGAGCTGGAAGGTCACACCAACAGTAACTTACATTAACTCCCAGTACCCTATGTTGGCTTAGGGAAGATTTACAAAGCTCTCCCCTCTGATTTCTCACACTATCACTTCAGAGGGCAGAAGACGTCCACTAACTCACTAAGCCCTGGCGAAGATGTCAGTGGGTAACTTCTAATGGGGCAGTCCTATTCCCAGTCTTTTTTTTTTTTTTTTTTTTTTGGTGGGACTGGGGTCTGAATGCAGGATTTTGAGCTTGCAAAGTAGGTGTTCTACCACTTGAGCCACACCTCCAGTCCATTTTGCTCTGGTTATTTTGGAGATGGGATTTCACAAACTATTTGCCTGGACTGGCCTCAAACCCCAATCCTCCTGATCTTAGCCTCCCAATTAGCTAGGATTGTAGGCATGAGCTAGCAGCACCTGGCTCTTGTACCCATTCTTTGAGCCATTCAGCAGTTATGTTACTCATCTCCCCAACAGGTGAGCTAAACCCCACCCTTTGCTCACCCCACTCCCAGGATCCTTTTAAACAATCTGTCAACCTACCTGTGTCTTATTTACCTTCAGACTTTTCAGCTTTTCTTTCTATCCTTCATAGTAGGTAAGATTTGACAATCTCAACCTGTGTTTTGGTTTCCCAAGTAAGACAACCATTTGGCAAAGCTGAAAGGGGAGGTCCCGAGCACCTCCATGCTGCGGACACCTGCAAGGCATGTCCTCTTTGCAGGTGGACAACAGTGAGTATCTTGTGGAGCTTTGATTTCAACCACACAGAGAGGTGCCTACCAATGGTACAGGGGTATGTCAAATCACAACCAGAATGAGCCGGGGACACTGCAAGAGGCCAAGAGAGCCACTCATGGAGAGCCAGGCAGGTCCACATGGCTTTCCTGGGGCGGGTCCTGGACCCTCAGTTTCGGAAGCGTGAGAATTAAACAAGGAAGGTGGAGGGAGCCTTATGTGCACAGAAGGTGCCCAGGGACAGTTGCAGTGGTTGGTGCTTTGGAAGCTGGGTCGTAGGAAACAAGATGTACAGGAAGGGGGGCAAAATGCCAAAGCCCCATGGCTGTTACCCTGCCACTTCATAGGGTAAGTTCCAAATTTGCTTTGGTGCCTGTCTATCCCAAAGTTCTCTTGAAGTTCCATCAATTCCCTGAATTCCTTTCCTGACGGCTGAGACTCTGAAATCTTTGCAAAGAGCGCCATCTAGTGGCGATCTCGCCAGCAGCTTAAACAGGCAATTCAACCCTTCTGGTCCAAATGGATACTTTGATAGTGGTCTCCACAGCTGGTCAGTGAGTGACTTATTAAGTGTGGAGTAGTCTCACACAAGCTGGCGAGGACAACTGGACCTTTCTATAGATGCGAACTTAAGAGTTTTCTATCAAAAGTCTTAAAACCATGTGTCCCCTTTGGCTAGCAATCCCACTTCTGAGCAATAAGAATATGTGTTGTTTTGGGCTTGCATAGCTATTTATTATAGCTTAAACATAGAATTCGATATTGCAAATAAACAGAATATCCAGCGTGTTTACTTTGGCAAGAGCCACTCTCTCCACGTGGTAGAACAGAATCTAAATAACCATTACTGAAACAACAGGGTGTACAAGTCTGAGGCTCTGCTTGGGACCACTGGGGTGTTCTGACATCTATTTTTTGAGGTCTGGGAAACTGTTGATTTGGAGTAATTTCTTTTCCTCAGGTGGCAGGAGTAGGGTCAGGGGAGAAGGGCCTTTGAGTAGCTAATGGTCCTGGTGGGTCTGTAGTGACCTGGTGGGGTCACTACACAGCCTGCTTCAGAGTTACATCTCTGGCCATGACAGCCCCTTTTAGTAAACAACAACCAAAGAGGTCTCTCTCTCCTAGGAGCCGGTCAAGGCTCTGTGGCCCTGGGACCCCAGGATGGCTGGACATGGACAATCAAGGGGGAGCCTCTCTGTGTAGGCTCTCTTATGGTATTGTCAAATGATATCCAGAGCCTTTTTTTTTTTTTTTTCCTGGTGGGACTGGGGTTTGGACTCAGGGCCTGGCACTTTCTAGGCAGGTGTCCGCCTTTTTTGCTTTGGTTATTCTTGTGGTTTATGCCCTGATAGGCCTGGATCTCAGTCCTCCTATTTACAGTTCCCCTGTAGCTGGGATGACAGGCACACATCACTGCACCCAGCCATTGATTGAGATGGGGGGGGGTCTCATGAACTTTTCACTGGGGCTGGTCTCACATCATGATGCCCCATCTTTGTCTGCTGAGTAGCTGGGATTACAGACTTGAGCCGTCACATCCAACTCCAGATTGTGGATAGCAGAGGCAGGTGGGAGGGGACTTCAGCGTGTAGAGTTAGCCACACTTCTACCGAAGGGGCGCTTCTTCCATTTTTCAGTTGTTTCTAAACTTTCTTCCTCTTACTTTGGTAATCGTTTTTAAAATCCCATTTTCCAGGTCCCCAAGCTTGGAAGAAAATCCAGCCAAGGAGCAAGTGAGCAGTGTGTGTTTTCCTCTGAACGCTCAGCCCTGGTTTCCGACCCCTGCAAAGAGCAGGACAGTCCTTGCTCCTTAGTGTGGAGGAACAAACTTGGATAACTCTGACCTTGGGAAAGAGGAAGTTTGGCTCCATCACCCAGGGAGCACTGTGTGGCCTTGAAATCAGTTGAAATGGATTGCTTTTTTCCAAAGGCTGGAAGCAGGAACCTCCCCCAGGCTGTTGTAAGTCTATTGTTTCTGGAGCTGGGGACAAGGGCACTTGCAAAATAGAACCCTGGAGCAATTTTCTGCCTTGCTGGAAGGTGGGCTGGCTTTGACGTACCATCTGTAAATTGCTGTCCTTGTTTCTCATGCTCCCCACCTCCCACCCTCCACCTTGCTTTATCTGGCAGGAACCCAGGACCAACTCCAGTGCCACAGAGCGACCCAGGGCTCCAGAAGGAGGCCCAAGCAGTGTGACCAAGCAGACCCATGCCTCAGTTTCCCCATCTGTAGATGAGTAGTAACAGGTGCTTCCTTCTTAGGGCTGTTTTGACATCTTCCAGAGCAGAGCAGATCCTGGCAGGTCACCTCTCTAACCAGATGTCCTGTTGGAGGCAGCAGCCGTGGAGGGCCAGGCGGCCACAGACGGAAAGGGGGGATGAGCAGTTCCCTGCTTGTGACCTGAGACCTCTTGTTGCTCCAAAGCTGCAGCTTTCCGAGAGAGCTGACTGGAACTTCATCATCCTTGCAGGGATCTGTTCTCTCAACGCCTTTTTCCTCAGGAAAGTCATCTACTCCGCCAATACTGAATAGGAGCCTGGGCCTGCTGCGGCCTGCCTAGGGTGCGACTCCCTGCTCTGCCTGTTCTCAGCCACGGGGCCGCCAACATGGCAGGTGTCCCTTCTTCTCCTGGAGAGCTGTTTTCAGAAGCCACACTCGCCTGCTCCGCAGCTAGTTCTCCTGTCTGTGTGCTCCAAAGGTGGGCAGTCCCCGCGCACAGGCCCCATGCTGAGCCTCTGGCTGGTGAAGCCTAGAAAGTGCTTCAGGCGTTGGTCCCTTGAGTGGTCCCTGGAGAAATGAGTGGCGGAGACACTGG